TATCTTTGGCTCATAACAGAATTGAAGGATCAATTCCTGAGACATTTGGAAAACTCGTAAATTTGGAAGCATTGGATCTTTCATATAACAATATGTCTGGTGTGATTCCAAAGTCATTAGAGGAACTTAAGCAACTAGACTCCTTTAATGTCTCATTCAATAGGTTACACGGGGAAATTCCGAGTGGAGGGCCTTTTGTTCATCTTCCCTTCCAATCTTTCATGTCGAATAAAGGATTATGCGGTAACCCTCAAAAGCATGTCCTCCCATGTCGTTCTAATTCAAAGAAAAGAAGATTGATATGGATTTTAGTTGCCTGTTTGGTTATCTTTGTAGTAGGGGTTGTTTCATCAATAGTTTTCATGTTGATGAGACGTCGGGGTAAAACAGTCAATATTGAAGATGAGTGGTCACCTGAGATAGCAGCACAAAGAATTTCTTACCATGAACTTCAAAGAGCAACTCAGGGATTTGATGGAAATAACTTGATAGGTAGTGGAAGTTTTGGTTCTGTTTACAAAGGGACAATGGCAGATGGGATGATAGTTGCTATTAAAGTTTTTAATGTACAGATGGAAGGTACATTTCAAACTTTTGATATAGAATGTGAAATCTTGCGGAATCTTCGCCACAGAAATCTCACCAAGATCATAAGCAGTTGTTGTAACTTGGATTTTAAAGCATTGATACTTGAGTACATGCCAAATGAGAGCTTAGACAAGTTGCTATATTCGCGAGATTATTGTTTGAATATAATGCAAAGATTGAATATCATGGTTGATGTTGCTTCTGCTCTGGAATATCTCCATCATGGTTACTCAGTACCGGTTGTTCATTGTGATCTGAAGCCTAGCAACGTGTTACTTGACAATGACATGGTGGGACACCTAACTGACTTTGGCATCGCCAAACTTTTGACTAAGGAAGAATCTATTGCTCACACTACAACCTTTGCCACAATTGGTTACATTGCTCCAGGTAAATTCTTTACATAACTTTAACGGTCAGCCCAATGCATGAAGCATCTACGTTCACGCAGGGTCAGGGGAAGGGCCGCACCCCAAAGGGGGTGTAATGTAGACAGCCTACCCTGATGCAAGCATCAATAATGGCTGATTCCACTGCTCGAACCCATGACTTATAGGTCACACGGAAACAATGTTACTATTGTTCCAAGGCTCCCCTTCAAATTCTTTATTTAGCTTTGTACAATGTAATTGATTAATGCATAATAAGTTTATTTGCTGACATATTGTTTTATTTTTTCTTGTTTAGAGTATGGTTCGGAAGGCCTTGTATCCAAGAGGTCTGATGTTTATAGTTATGGTATCATGTTCCTGGAAACCTTTATAAAGAAGAAACCTAATGATGAAATGTTCGTGGGAGATTTGAATTTGAGAAGCTACGTACATAATTCGCTTCCTGATGAGCTGAATAATATCATAGATGCCGACTTACTAACACTAGATGAAGAAAACTTAAGTCAAAAGCTGCAATGTGTATCTGCAATCATGGAGTTAGCCATGAATTGCACAGCTAATATTGCAGTTGAAAGGATGAACATGACTGATGTTGTAGCAGCATTGAAAAAGATCAAACAGAAGCTTTCTTCATGTTATCGAACGACCTTAC